GGAAAGTGGAACACTCATCCACTGCTGGTGGGGCTGCAAACTTGTTCAGCCCCTATGGAAAGCAGTGTGGCGAACTCTTAAAAAACTACAAATGAACCTACCATTTGACCCAGTTATATCACTCCTTGGCATATACCCAAAGAACTCATCCTATTGCCGAGGCACTTGTACATCCATGCTTGGTGCTGCTCTTTTCAAAATAGCTAAGAGATGGAAGCAACCTAAGTGTCCCTTAATTGACGAGTGGATAATGAAAATGTGGTTCATTTACACGATGGAGTTTTACTCAGCAGTAAACGAAGATGAAATCATGAAATTTGCAGGTAAATGGATGGAATTGGAAACTGTTATACTAAGTGAAGTAACACAGACTGAGAAAACGAATGACATGTGTTCTCCCTCATATGTGGATCCTAGCACCAAATCCTCATAGTGAGTATGTATTCAGATGTAACTACAGGAACCAGGATAATGAAAAGGAACCAGATATGTGAAGGAAAAGAAAGACTCTGAAAGAGAAGAACAGTAGGAAACAGAAGAACAGTAGGAAACTGGTGTTAGCAAGGGAGATATGGATAATAATGGGGTTATTTTAAGGGGAGGGGGAGGGAAGCCCGTAGACGCATTGTACTTAATGTACAATATTCATTTGTCCATCTAACAGATCACAAGTCCCAGAGCCATGATGGAATCTATTGTACTTGTTATTTTCTGACTGTAAAGCTGAAATTTTTATTCAAAATGCTATTTTGTCCCTGAAACCAATCTCATCATCCTATAATCCCATCAACAGTATCAATACATAAATAATACATTGTATTTATTTATATATAATGGGCAGGACTGAACACCATATCTTGCTGAGGACAAATCATATTGCTGGGTACAGTCACATTATGTGTCCTGGTCTTTGCTAATCTGGACTGGCAAGTACTAAGGGAACAATCTCTTCCCCGTGGATCTTGGATTGTTACATACCTTTAATCTTAATGTATCACCTTTGCAAATAAGAAAAGGAACACTCGAAAGGAATTTGACAAGTCTATGGATTTTTAAAACATTTGTATTTCTTTGTAAAATATTTTAAAACTCTGTTCTTCGTTGATTCATATTCATATTCTGAAATATTTAATCCTCGGGTGCGGAGACAGATATAAAAGTTTTAGAAATGACATTAAAATACAAATGGAATACAAGCTCTCCACTGGGAGGAATTCATGTTGCTTACAAAGAAGAACTGAACTTTTCATAAAGAAGATCTCTCTGAAGCAGAAAGCACATGCCAACAGGAAAAGCTAAAAGACACTCAGTGGGGAAAGACTTTCTCCATTTATTTAATTCAAACAAAAACTTTTTGTCATTTCTTACAATTTTGATTCTATTTTTATTTAAGCACATTCATGCAATAAGCTGAAAGTTCACTGCATGTTCTGTTTCCTTTTTGAAATCAGGGCCATAGAAAACACTGCAGCTCTACATATGAAAAAGTGACGGTTGACAATAGGAGTTGACTTTACCTCATTTATAATAATCCAGTGACAGTCAAAAGCAACCAAGTTGGTCTCTACGACCTAGAAGAGAAAACAGAGGAGCCATTAATGTTAATCTTGAAGACCGAAGCACACTACTGGAGAAACTCTAAAGGAACAGAAGTCATTCTGTGTTATAAAAGCCCCAGATCAATTAAAGATGGAAAATTATAAGCAAAGTGCTGCGGGCACATCTGTATCTGAGAGCAGTATGCTTAACTACAGACATGTGAAATAAAGTTGAAGATAGCACTGTCAAAAGCTAGAAAAAAATTCAAAAGAAAAAGTTAATAATGCTTCATAATTTAACAGAATTTCTCTCAAATTTTATCTGTTCTAAATAAATTTTAGAATTTTTACTATATATCTAATAAATATTTCTCTACAATCTCCTCTACTGCAGCTTAATATTTCTTAATCATTTTCTGCTGATTTGTGCTTACTACTGTTTTGAGTCAACTGTGCTCAGAAGAAATCATCCAAAAACCTGTAAAATAGCAAAAGCAATTCATATTATAGTCACAATATGTTAGAGGTAAGAAAATTTTGAAGCTTTTAGATTGTTAGAAATATGGAAAAATTAATGAATATTAATGGAAAAGCAATCAATATATGGATATCAATCTTGACTGATATACTTTAGATATTTGGCACAGCCCAAAATAAGCTTAGCAAGTTCTAAGAGTCCATATGTGGGTGGTGTGTATGTGTGTGTCTGTGTGTCTGTGTGTCTGTGTGTGGGGGCCTTTGTGTGCATGTCTCTCTGTGTATTTGTGTGAGTAGCAGGTGCAGTTTTTGTAAAAATTTTTTTGTAAAGTTTCCATCGTATCTGTTTATATTACACATATTCCAACACGTGGTCTTACGATTCATGTAAAGAGCATGTAACAGGTGAGGATGCTTTGTAAGAAATTATATTGTAGCTTTAGGAATAATGTTTAAAGATTTAGTTTCAAATGAATATATTTTTTATTAAGTACTAAGGAGGTGTTGCAAAGTGTGAATTGGATTTGATGATTATTCTTTGTTCTACTAACATGCTTCTTCAAAGATGCTTGGGTCATAGGAAATATAATTGGATATATACTTGTTGTATAATTATATGTTGTTCATTCAAATATATAATTATTTGTATAATTCTTGTTCCAAAATATTGATATTTCATACTACTTCAGTACGTCATCATATTCCCATAAGCTTGCTAAGAAATGTTGATAATGCCTTATCAGAAAGTGAGGATCATTTTCCTGTTTTTAAGGTTTAGCATTATTACTTTTAAAATTCATGCATGACCAGCTTATAGGTGAAATTTATTATAGAAAATATGACCAGTGTCAATTTTCAGTTTTAGCTAATGAAAAACATATTTTTACTTTATATTTACAACATTCCATTATTCAACATTGACAGTTAAAGAGACATATCAATAATTTGGTAATAATGAAAAGCATTACAATATGAAAACCAAGCTACAGGTGATAGAGACTGCACAATACTAATAGTAAAGAGAGAAAAAATTTAGCTAAAAATGTCCTTTTTAAGATCATCTGTGCCCACGGATTAAGCTATTTAAGCAATGAGAAGTCTATATTACATGTAGCTATTATTATTTTGTGGAACATGCCCTTGTATGCTACTAGACAGTAACCTGGATAATTTGCGTAGACAGTGAAAGTAATCTTTCACACTGTGAGATGAAATAAGTGGGAGAAAATACAAAACAGTATTGAACCTCAGCAAAGAAGAGAGGCAGATATCTCATTGATGTAGGATATTGGTGTGTCTTTGAGTGCCAGGCAGCCCTCTCCGCTCTGCTGTGCTTAGCTTAAGAGGCTAGGGTCACCTAAAATTATCTCAAGCCAAAAGCTTTCAGGTTCTTGTCTTGAGAACTGGAAGAATGAAATTCAGAGACCACAGAGGCTGAGTTTTATAAAGAGTTTTTTATTATAGAGACTAAGAGAAAGAAAGAAGGCAGAGCACCTGTGTAGCAGGGAGGGCTCCTGAAAGTGTGGATCCATTGAGTCTTATTGCTAGGGAGTTAATAAGGCATTAGTGAATGAAGTAGGGGAGAGGGAGATGAGCCAGTCAGGCCCGTTTCCACTCTGGGTTTGGAGATTCCTCACAGTCTTCATCAGAACTCAGTGTGGTTTCCAGGAAAGAGGTACCCTTTCATAGAAGAGCTATAATGGAAAACCAAATCCTCCCTTCCTGGCACCTCCAGCTTCTGACCATGGTGGGACTAGGGGGATTTTGGGCTTAGGCATTTCTGATATTTCTGGCAAAGATGAGGCTGTCTGTAGGCTCAAGGACATTTCCAGCTTTTAGCTAAGAAAGTAACTGGTCTCTTTTCTGGGTAATTTTTCTTTTTCCCTGAGCTGCCTCATGAACTTCTATTTCCTGTCATCGGTATCACTGGACACAATGTGGTCTTCCTTCCCTTAGGGACAGTAAATAGTCTCCCTAATTGTCTTTCCTTTCACTCAGGAATATTACAGGGCAGTTCCAGCAATATAAATTTGAAACAGGCAAGAAATTATTAGCACTTTACTGTAAGTGAATAAGTAATCCATTTATCTGCACATTCTCAATTGAGAACTCTTAGCTATAGGTGGGTAACAGGTGGTGTGTGTGTGTGTGTGTGTGTGTGTGTGTGTGTGTGTGTGTCCCTCCATATGAGTCCACTGAAATGTGACAGCATGTCTCAATGTGCAGGGGAAACACAGGCTCTCTGAGAACCTCCCTTGGGCTTTCCAGTTCATAGGTCTCCTTCTGTGACTCTCTGAAACTGTTCTAAAATCGTTAGCAGCAAAGTTTGTCTGAAATTTAGGCTGCTAAATGAACTTTAAGAAAAAAATTGTCCTAATAACCAGTGAGAGGATGCAACATTTATAGGAAGTCATTGACCATAAGACCAGTCACAGTAGTTTAAATTCACTTAAATTTTCAAGCAAAATTGAGGATCCAAAATTCCATTGCTTCCTTCTGTGACATAACTTAGAACACATTTCCCATCCGCCAGTGCAGGAGATACCTCAGGGCCATGAGTCCACCAGGCGTAGGAGCAGAAGTGACGCCTTGTACCTCTTATCCTGACTCATCAAACCTCCTGCATGCTAATGCCTGCTTGCTGGGTCCCATGTGATTGTGCCAGTGTTCCAGTGCCTGCATGCCTATACCTGCGTGGTTGTGCCCACATCCCAGTGCTTGCACGCCAGTGCCCACTCTCTAGACTTGAAGCACATGAGGTTGTGAAGCCATGTTCAGGGCACTTTCCATGTCATGCTGGCTCTGGTGCAGAGAGCTTTCCCCCTACTCTCTGTTGCCATACTGAGCTGATACATGAACTATGACATTTGGGGTCTACTCCTTGAAGAAATTTAGTCTACCTGGCCTAATGTGAAAATATTATTATTAATTTCAGCTCTGTGCCTTTTTATAATTCTAAATTTTGATGAATACAGTCACTAGTGTAGCTGAGTTTCTGTGATTTGGTAAAAACTTGCACTGAAAAATGTGTGTTGACTACTTCAATGGACACTAAATATTCGAGACTCTTTTTACAAGCATCTTTTTCCCTGGATAAGGAAAGGTGTGTCTCTTAGAACTACACTTAAGAATGAAAGGTAAATGTGTCATACTCCTTTCATGACACAGTGACTATGTACACAGACATATGACTAGAATCTATGCAATACCATGATGATAACATTCAAAGAAGCTTGATTTTTAAAACTATAATGACGAATGTAAAAAGTTATCTGAAGAAATATCCACTAAAAGAGGAATATAATTCTCTTAGGTTTAGCTTAAGTTCTTCATGCATAAATAATAAGATCACATGAGTTCTTAGAATTTGGGGGGGGCAGTAACTGAATGTTACTGAAACAGCAATGATTAAAAGTAACTAATTGAAAAGGTAACTGATAGTAAGGGAAGGAACATTTGGCAAGGGGTGTAAGGAGATGACAGAGTTCAACACTTTAGATCTTGGGCATTTAAATGGCCAATACAAATATAGCAAGTTACAGGCAGCATCTTCAGACAGGTTGAAACTAACTATAGAATTAAAGAGAGGAGACCAAGGAGGAGGCTGTATAGTCTCACATCGCATCAGTCTGAGCTAATAGCCAGTGAGAAGTGTTCCTACAAAGACGCATTTACATAAAAGGAGATCAGTGTGGAGACGGCATGACGCACGACGAATGACTACTGTGAATCCAAACCAGCTTTCCTGATTATTTAATATGTTGAGCAATATTAATTCCTTTTGAAGTATTAACACTAAAGCCTCGGTAATGCTGTACTAAAGTAATGGCATTGCTGAATTAAAGTCCAAATTCTGGATTTTAGGAATTAGTATTTTAATTATTTTAAGGCATCCTAGAATTTCTATAGTCTTTGCATTTACTCCTACAATTACATTAGAATTCAATTAGGAAAGATTGTTGCTCTGATGATTTATCTTCATTGTCAACTTGACTGGATTTAGCATCACCATGGAAACACACTTCAAGGTGTATCTATGAGGCCATTTCCAGAAAGTCTAACTGAGCTGGAAAGACCCTCCTTAAATGCAATCAGCTCCATCCCATGGGCTGGGGCCCCAGACTGAACAAAGAGGAAAAAGTGGTATGAGCACCAGCATTCACCTTGCTCTGTTTTCTGACTGCTGACATGTGGCTAGCTGCTGTATTCCTGCTGTCCTATCTTCCTGTGAGCCCTCCCAAACCATTCCCAGAAGAAATACCCCCTCACATCCTTAAGGAGCTTTTATAGGGTATTGGACTCTGCAGCCAGAAAAGTAACTAGCATAGCTTCTTTTACTCATCATTTTTACTTAAGTAGCACAGCTCATATGTTATTGGTGAACATTTAGAATCAATGAAATGGATTAAGAAACTAGACCTAAAAATGTCTTTTCCTTTTCCTAATTAAGCCTCTTTCATATCAAGCTCATTGTTGCTACAGTTCTTAGGACTGTTTTGCAAATTGGGAAATTCTCGCTGTGCTTTTTAAAATATATCAAGAAATATATCTCTAGA